ACTAATAGAATTTCTATCAATCTCTGATTCTAATAGTTACCATCCAGGGTAGAATTTTTAGAGCACTGTTTTATTCATAAAGAAATACTCCTCATAGTTGACGACAAGACGAACTGTATATCGACTAATGGCACTTATCTACCAGCTTGTTGAAGAACATTTCAGTAGGAATAGCTGATCCAAAAATTGATCGATATGACTCACAATACTCTTTCATTGGGAGACATATTCATACATATAGATCAGTGGTGTAGCCCAAGAGTAGGACCATTGCCCAAAGCTTCAATAGTCATAGCCCAAGAATATTTTTGAGATGGTGCTAACTGCCCAATGATGAAAACTTTCGATGAACATGTAAGTTTGCAGACTTTCGTGACAAAATTGTACTGGATTGTCTCTTGTTTTGACCTGGCCAATTGATCTAAAAAGATCGTTCGATGGTCTTTTTCATTAAATGATGATCAAACTGGTGATACATCAATGATATTCTAATCAAAGTACTGATTCTTATACTTCAATGCATTTTAAAAAGAACATGGATCAATGCTTAGCCGTTTCTCAAAGCACATCAAATTATATTGAATGGCAACAAATGCACTGCTTTACGCTAAACATTTTGAGGATGTAATTGATGACATGAGTATCACAACATAAAAATTTTAAAATCCAATGGGCTATATAGAAACTCTGAATGAGAATGGTTCGAACGGACAAATAAAATGATAATTCATGATTTAAAGGATTCATACATAACTTAACGTTAGAGTCATTAAAATGTAGAGTAGCCTTTGTCATTGTCAAAGCCTTCAAAATCGATGGTGGAAGGCTGTCCTTAGACAGTTGAACTATAAACTGCCTAAAAGAAATCTCATAGCATACCACTTATTCAAGTACAGTTTTGTTGGAAATTGGAAAAACTTTCGTTTCGCATGTAAGTTTTTTCAATAACTCTTTAGTCTGCTTAATCTTCTCTTCATTTCGGCTTTCAAAATAATGTACAGGGTGTCCAGAAATAACCTACTAAAAAAGAAAATCATCTATCTTCACCGTATTTCAAGCAACTGAGCTAATTTTTGTTCTGGTAATAGAGGCAAGTTTTCTAAGTGTTTTTTTCGTAAAGATAAAGTATACAAATATCGCTGAAACTTATTACTATTGACTTCAACCCAACACTGCAGCTGTTTTTTGTAATATGATGCCACAACATACAACAGTTTTTATTTAGTTAACTTGCCTTTTTTCGTAATTCTCGACTTTAAATCATCCAGACATTTCACTTTTTGCTTTATAAACACTTGCTCAGATGTTTTCTTATAAAAAAAACAGTGTAACAGTGGCAGACTAGTAACTTCCAGAGCTATAAAATCATTCGTCTCTAACAGTTCATCGGTTATCAGTTTTCGCTGTGCTAATAATAAATCACTTTGAAAAAACGTACCGCTAGCTCTATCTTTTTGAAAAATGTTTAACAAAGGCTTAGAGAGCAGAAAATGGAATGTCTGGATGGTTTAAAGTCGAGAATTACGAAAAGAGACAAGTTATCTAAATAAAAACAGTTGTATTTGGTTTCACTATATTACAAAAAAAGCTGCAGTTTGGGATTGAAGTCAATACTATTAAGTTTCAGCAACATTTGCACATTTTATCTTCACGAAAATAAACTCAGAAAACTTTCTTTTACCATCAGAAAAAAATTAGCTCAGCTGGTTGAAATACGGTGGCGATAGATAATTTTCTTTTTGGTGTGTTATTTCTTGGACATCCTGTATACTTCAACCTTTTCAAGCGTCGTTGAGCAAGGGAAAGGATTCTATTTCACTCAATCATCGTTCAATTTTCCAGCGAGAAAATGAAATCGTAGTCGCTTTCAGCGGCTTAGTATCGAATCAAGTAGGTGAGATTTTACTGTCAATATTCGAAAAATCGAATTTCCATTTAATGAATCCTAGATTTGTTCATTGCAACATTTTGTTCTATTCTACAACGACGCTGCCTCCGACTGCATGTTCTCCTCAACAGATGCTCAGTTTATAAGTCTGATACAATCAACTTGTCATCATGAAACTGTAGATTTCAAGTATATGAGAAAATGATTTGTGGCACGACGTTTTTCTGAAAACTTGACTAGAGAAAAATCGATGAGAAAACCTTTTACATGTGTGACGAATAATTTCGTATACCTTCTCAGCTTCGAAGCCAAGCACCCACCTGCGTTACTTGGTAAAAAAATATGCTAATCGTCGTTGTTTTCACACAAAAGATGATAAGACACTTTAAAGTTGAAAAATACCTTTGTGCAATAGTATAAAGATACCGAACATACTTCTCTGTTGGTTGTGAAGGTTGTTGATTTTTTTCTTCACTAAACATCGGCTTTGAAAAAGATAAGAAGTTTTGAAAAAGTGCAACTCTGTTGACTTTTGAATTGCTCATGGCTGTCCTAGCCTTAAGATAGTTTGATCGGGGTATTGCCCAATACTCAGAAATACCTGGCTACGTCATTGAGTAGAGACATAACGCTTTGAAGAATTACTTGCGTTGCTTCACAATCAAATGAACAAGCAATTAATCTTGGAAAAAATATGTTCATATATTTCAAATCAAGAACATTAACGAAATAGTAAACATGATCATTGTTGCAATAAAGTGAGTTAATGTGTAGAAGCTAAACGAAACTAAAAAAAGAAAACAATAACTAATAAGGAGAATAATTTGACGTATAAATCCACTATTAATTGTTGTGTGTGTTGATGATTATAACAAGCAACGATATTACTTGTAACATGTTGAAGTTGAAGTGAAATTGTTTTTCTTTTCACCAAAAGTAGTTTAAACTTGATATGAACTCTTCGAAATGAAAATTTAAAAGTTTATTTTTCTAGCTTGAAGCGCATCAAGCTCAACTATTTCTAGTGTATTCAAGGAAATCATTATATTAATTAGAATTGCAGTAAACGTACTGTTATTATCAGTTTCATGAATAAGAATACTATACAATAATGAAAGTATTTCAAAAAACTTGTTGACTTCATTAGATTTAATAGTTGAGCTGAATCGATCAATCGCTGATTGTTTTTTGACAGTTGACATTCTCTCTTATTAGAGATATCACATGGTGTTATTTAATAAACTACAAGGAAAAAAAAGCTCCACTTTTGCTTAGAAAAATGAAAGATTTGTTGTATTTATAACAGCTCGAGCTTATAGGTGCAGGTCAATGGGCTAAGCCGTCGCTGCCAATGCACAAGCAATTCAATCGCGTCGCCATCGTTACTGAAGACTCCAACCATCACCGCGAAACAAATGTAGATAATTGGTTTTAAAAAAACGCTCGACGATCCAAACCAGCTTTTAGAGATGTTATCGTCTGGTTTCTTTTCAGCAGATTTTGTATCCTTGTTTTCTCTCTTTCATTTTAAAATTACTAAGAATCAAAATATTTTTTTTATTCATTGAAAATTTCAACTACCACTGGCATCGCCGATAAATTTATCGGCTTATATCTCTACTCGAATTATATGAAAAAATGATGCTATTAGATCAAGAATACACTTTGTAAATTCGGTTAAACAGCTTATTGTCAATTTATCCTCAACAGTTTCATTTTCACCTCTTCAAATTTCTCTTGCTATTGAATTTATAGACCACAAGAAGAGTTTACACGATTTACTGTCCACGAGTTTACTATGCGCTGTGATTTTTTACTTTTTATTGTTTTTCTTTACAAAAAATTCAATATGAGTCTTCACTTTAATGACATCCCTATTCATACCCACAAGTCCACACTCATCCGTCTACTCTCTTCTCAAACACACCCCAAAATTGTTTAGAATAATATTTCGTCGTGAAAACATCTTCATTATACAGTAGTAGACAAAAGTCCCGACCCTAGGGGAAAAACTATCTAAATAAGGGTTGTTTGCTGTGAAACTTGTAGTGAAGTAAGGACTTGACGAGTCCTGATCGTAGGCAAAAACTCGAGTCCTGTCTCCTTACTGAGGTTGAGATATCAGATCAACACCAAGGATTTTTTCTCCATATGTTTGACGAAATCATATGATATTGGAAAGAAATGCTGGTACTTTTCGATTTGCTGAAGTAAAGGTAATATTTTTAGTGCAATATGTAGTTTCGATGATGATCTACCTATACCAGAAAGGTCACTTAGATATGCCATACCCTAGTGATTTCCTAGAGCTATCAGTCTAGAGGTATAGAAGGATATAGATCTCCCTCTCTGTAAAGGCTATAATGGTGAAAATTTTAGCATAGGTTTATCCATACGTATGAAGTCTACAATAAAATTTTCAGACTGAACGACTGGGCCTAGCTCGAGATTTGAATCAAATACTGGTAGGGCTGTAATATGCCAGTTCCGTGTGTAAGCAGTGTATAGGTCACAACTTAATGAAAACGCGTCGGTTTTTAATGAAAATTTTACTGAAGAGAGACTAAGAGTGAGGCTTTCCAACGATGGGTCGACCGGAATTGTATCTCTTTCCTAGCCCGAGATAATCCACTAAGAATAAATCCTTGGTGTTGACCTGATACCCTAGTCTCAGTAAGGGGACAGGGCTCGAGCTTTTGTCTACTATCAGGACTCGCCAAGTCCTTACTTCACTACAAGTTTCAAAGCAAACAACCCTTATTTAGATAGTTTTCCCCTAGGGCCGGGACTTTTGTCCACTACTGTAATTACAACATATTCATCCTTATCAATGAATGTTTACAGATGGCGCTAGCATTTCGTTATTTCCCTATTGAAAAACAATTCAAGATAAAAGAAATCAAAAGAAATTTATGATAAAATCTATTAAAAATCAATACTATTGCATCGCCAATATTCTATTCTTCGCAATAGAATTGTGATGACTCATCAATCTCATTTTGTTCTCCATTGGGGTTGCTTTTCATGTTGTTTTGTTTTCCTTCTTCAGTTTGTTCTTTTTACTTACTATTTTAGGTAGCAAATCACTTTTTTTGCTCAATATATCACAGCAATGCTTGCCAAATGGTTAACCGCTTTGGCAATTCTTGCTGCAGTCTTTGCTTTAAGTATCCATCAAATACCGGAAGGACATGTTGGTATATATTACAGGCAAATGAAATCAATTATTTTTCTGACTATAGTCTGATGAATTAAAAATTCGAATAAAACGTTTGATTTTTTTTCGAGTATCTACAGAGAAAAAACAACAAGTTTTGACTTAGACTTTTGGCTCATAGTACTATAGTAACTATTTACTATAGTACTAAAGGTTTGACGCAAAACTTGTTTTTTTCCTCAGCAGATATCGGAAAAAAAATCAAACATTTTACTCGGACTTTTAATTTATCAGACTAAAGTAATATCATCAATTTATCTATCTATTTTTTAGAGGAGGTGCTCTCCTCACATCATTGACTGCACCTGGTTATCATGTTATGATGCCATTTTTAACAACAGTTAAAATTGTTCAAACAACCTTACAAACAGATCAGGGTAATAAATATTCGTTTTATTTGGTTAAAAAAAAAGAATTTCAATGAATATTTCTTTAGTAAAAAATATCCCTTGTGGTACTAGTGGTGGAACAATGATATACTTTGACAAGATCGAAGTTGTTAATATATTAAGGTCTGATGCTGTTATTGATATTGTACGAAATTATACAGTGCATTATGATCGAACATTAATATTCGATAAAATACATCATGAAGTTAATCAATTTTGTTCAGTACATACACTTCAAGAAGTTTATATTGATTTATTTTCAAGTATTGATGATCATTTAAAACGAACATTACAAAATGATTTAAATACATTAGCACCTGGCCTTTATGTTAGTTCAATTCGAGGTAAAAAAAATTGAAGCCTTTAAAATATTAAACCGAATATGAACTTGAATTAATTTGATAGATATTTGTAAACTAAGTGTTCATATTGAATAACTTTCAAATATCAATATTGAGGTGTAAAAAATTTCGTCGATTATCTCGATCTGTTCTTTTTCAGTAATTCATTTAGTAATGTATGTCAAATCTTAGCCTTTGCTTTTTTTAAATAGGTAATTCATTCAGCGTTTCCGTACATTATCTTGATAGATCTTCTATGTTTTTATTAATAAATAGAATTTATAGTTTAGATAAAAATTCTGAATAGAACTCGTATGTTTAGCCCGTTTGTTTTCAGTTATGATCATGTTATTGAATTTTTAATATATTACAGGACATTATGGAAAAATCAGAATAAGAAATTTCTGTTTGAAGTTTTTCTCAATTATGTATTTCATGGTATTTATTATATTTCGAGAATTTCAACTGAAACGAATAAGTTTTTCTTAAGATATGGGATACTTATAAAAAAGAGTTCATTTAGAAGCATTTTTTAGAAAGTAATATTTTCTTTTGCAAACATGTTATCCTGAAGAAGCATCTGTTTCAACTGAAACTCTGATCATGCTTTTTCCCCTATAATATCGTGCAATGTGCTGAGAATTCAATAAAACCATTATAACGCGAAAAGGTTATCCGAAAAGTATGAATCTTTTCAACTTTTCATATAAACTATGAGTTCTACAAACATATTCATAGAGCGGGTATCAATAGGAACTGTTCCTTCGTAAAACTTTTGTTTTCCTATGAAGCTGAGAACTATAACAGTTGCATTAAGATTGAATCCAAAGTTTCATTGGAACTGATTAACCTTTTGTCATTAGTACAATTAGGCTTTATAGGCATCAAGGAGGTGTATCAGCTATGAAACAGATTGATTTGATCTTTTTTATTCTATATTTCAAATTTCTTTGTAGTAACAAAACCAAAAATTCCTGAAACTATTCGTCGTAATTATGAAACCATGGAACAAGAAAAAACTCAGTAAATATTTCATGATTAATTTTTTTAAAATCATCTAATAATATGATATAGATATATGATAACAACTGCTCATCAACAAGTTGTTGAAAAAGAAGCAGAAACTGATCGTCGTCGTGCTGTAATTGAAGCTGAAAAATTAGCACAAGTAGCTAAAATTCAATATGAACAAAAAATTTTAGGCAAAGAAAGTGAAAAACGTATTGCTGAAATTGAAGCTGGGATGCATTTAGCTAAAGAACGTTCATTAGCTGATGCAAATAAATATAAAAGTGATACAGAAGCTGAATCAAATACAAGAAAATTATCACCTGAATTCCTTCAATGGTCAATGTATCAAGCATTAGCACAAAATACCAAAATTTATTTTGGAAATTCAATTCCAAATATATTTGCTAATAATGATGGAATATTGAATATTAAAAAAAAATCTCAAGGAGATGACAAAAGACAAGTGGTACTTTAAATACTTAACGATCGACTGCTATAACTTATGATAATCTGTGATATTATGTTGTTTGGCTTTTTTTTTTGTTTCCTAGCGCCTCTATTCATTTATTTTTACATCTCTCAGAAGTGCTCACTTTGCCAAGTAATAATAAAAATTCGACTTTCTCTGTTTGCTTTTCGTTGCTGAAAAAATATATATAAAAGAAAAACCTATGAAAACTTCGTCATTTTTATTCTAGATGTAATTTGCAATTACTCAGGAATCAAATCTATTATAGGTAAGTTTAACAAGTTGTTAGATTAGACTAAAATACTTGTTATATAATTATCATATCAATGAACATGTCAATTATAAGGTAATGATGAAACAATTAGAATAAAAGAAATCATGGATTTCTTTTTCGTTTCGTCAAAACTAAGTCATATTGATGATTGATAATAGAATATTTATTTTAATAATCAACTTTTGAAAATAGAAGGCATATCATAATAAACTTTTATTTCGTTTCTTTGGTATGCATATATCAATATACAATCGATGATCACTAGTGCGCATCAGCATCGATCTGTTATCGTCTCATATTTCTTCTTCTTCTTTTTTTCTGCTCTGTTCGAAAGTTTTGGCCGTTACATTTTTTTTTTTGCTAATGATGTAAGAAATATTGATCATGTAATCAGAACGTATATGTGTATTTATTAAACTTTCAATCATAATAATAACGTGAAAGAATATGGAACGAAAACGTTTACAATATCAACGTCTCAAACAACAACAACAGCAACAACAACGTTTTTGTGTTAGTCAACAAGACTTAACCGAAGCTATGGCTCGTATGAAACCAATAATGAATAACTTTCAAGAACGGCGACATGCAACACAGGAAAATTTAACAAAGTGTTCATCATCATCTGCTATTGAAACAATAAATAATCAATCTGTTTCGCAATTAATTAAATCATTTGAAGCACGTACAAATATAACGCCTTGTGCAAGTGCTCAAAATTTGTTACCGATTAATAATGATGTTATTTCTAACGGAGCAGAATTTAATCGTAACCACATGTTCGGACGAACAATGAAAATCAAGGCCAATTGCAATGACAACGACATCATCAATAATAACGTCTGTTCGTCAATTTCTCCTTCGATCAGTAATGATAATCAAACGACTACAGTAGAAATACATTCACAGCAACTCACCGGAGATAAAGAACAAGAAAAAAACGACGAACAAATCTATGAAACAATAGATATAGATCATTATAAACAAGATTTACCACCACCACCATCATCCTCATTTAACATTACTGTGAACAAGAATAATCATCAGCCTATACAAATGTTAACACGTAGTACTAATATTGATGAAGCTGCATTAATTCTAGGCAAACGACATGAAATTCGTTTCGATGAATTACTTGCCAAAGAAGCACAACTGAATCATGCACTTGCTGATTTACTATCAATATCAAATGATGCTGATAAGTCTGTTTCAATAAATTCGTCACCAAGATCTTTAACTAATAATGCAGAAATTCGACGAGTATCAAGTGCCAAAAATAATAATAATATATCTGCTAGTATTGATTTATTAAATAATTTACTTGAAAAATTTGATATGGACAATGACGGTTCTGATAAAAAAAAACAAAAAAATAATAATACAGATCGACCTAGTCAAAAAAATGATGATAATCATGTTAAACCGATCAATATGTTTTGGTAGTTATAGATAGAAAGAAAAACAAGAAAATTAAGAATTATTTTTGCATGATATTATATTCCATTTATTTTTAATTTTAGTCTCATGTTGTCAGATAACGTATGTGCCAATTGTCATCAATCATTTGCTACTAATGAACAAATTGTTAATGCAGCTGGTCATATTTGGCACACACATTGTTTCGTGTATGTTTTATAATTTTAATCATATAAAAAGTTAATCTTCGAGAAGATAATTGTCCGATATTAGTATCAATATGTCAAGTGAAAAATCAATTTGAATGTTTTATTGTTTTTTGTTCGAGATTTTGTATGTTAAGTCTGGTCTTAGTAGTGAGTAAAAACGAATGCGACATTGCTTTTTTTAGTCTGCCTCAAATTTCTGTGTTTTTTTTTGCTAAAGTCGAGTATTAACATTCTTCATTTAATTATAACCATAATCAGACGTGTCACAAAAAAAGCGAATTTACTCGAAAATTCAATACGTCTACAACAGAAAATTCTATTCAACTACAGCTTTCAGAATATTTTATGAACAATTGATCCTGTATATGAACAAAATTTTAGGTCGAAACTTTAGTACACAATGGATATACTTCGGCTCTAAAGGCGGATGATACTTAGAACAGTTCTCTCGAGAGTTCTTTTAAAAATATTTTCTCAAGTCTAACTTATTCATTTATGTTTATTTGTTTCTTTAGTTGTACACAATGTTTTCAACCATTTGAAAATGGTATCTATTTTGAAGTGAGTTATTCAATAGTCGTTTTTGTTTTCCAAATCAATTTCTGTATAGCATGAAGATCGAAAATATTGTGAACGAGATTTTCAAATGTTATTTGCACCATGTTGTGCAGAATGCAGTATGTTTTATTTTAAATATTCTTTTTCATATATCACTTTGATATAATTTAGAACAAGCTATTGTTGGTCGAGTTATTCGAGCACTTCAGAAATGTTTTCATCCCGATTGTTTTCGTTGTCAATTATGTCAGATACCGTTAGTTGAAATGGGTTTTTCGAAATATAATGGAAGGTTTGTACTTAAAAATAAGGTTTTAGTTAGAAACACCAAACATTAACTTTTATAGAGCTCTTTGTCGAGAATGTCATGTAAAAGAAAAAGCGAACGATTTAAAATTATCCAAGCAAATTTGTTCAACATGCCAGTAAAGAAAAAAAGTTTTTAATATTATTATTATTATTATTATTATTAAAATATTGTTTGTTTTAGTCAAATTATTGATAATAAATATTTGAAATATAAAGGTGAATTTCATCATCCATATCATTTTCAATGTCAATCATGCCGGTTAGATTTAAATTTTTATTTCAGAAAAAAACAATACTTTTATTATTTTATAGAGTTGATTTAGATGAGAATTGTCGAGAAGTACGAGGTTCATTATATTGTCTTCCATGTCACAATAAACTTGATATACCTGTATGTGCTGCTTGTCGACGTTTAATCGAAGATCGAGTTATTAGTGCTCTTGGAAAACAATGGCATGTTGAGGTTTGTTTTCGTTTATTTATTTATTTATTTAAAATAGCCATGAATAAAATTAACTTATCCCTAATTATCATAACCGATGGGAATAGAATTTTTACTAATAGTACAACTCAATGAGTTATTATGTGATGTTTCAGTGAGATGTCAATCGAATATAATTGGAACAAATGAAAATACAGTCAATCTTTTCTCAAGATGAGTATATAACAGTCGTTTACAATATCATAAACTCAAGAGCGAAGGACTTTTCTCATCGTCTTAAACTCGAATTTTTAATTTATTATTTTCTTTTGCATTACTTCATGTTTCATCTATTGTTCGAATCGATTGAAATAAAAATATGCTTGTTTTAAAAAAAAACATATCATTACTTATGTTGCTGAATTTAAAACGAAACATCCATATGTTCTTATTATCTGCGAAATGTATAGAAGTGATTAGAAAACTTTATTACGAGTATCAAAGTATGGTTCAATAGGGTTCGAAAATTTCGAACTTGATGATCTCGATGCATAGTATTTTTGTTTGAATGTATGACATTGCATACTACGCTGATAGTGTATGATAGTCGTTTTTTTCGACGTAGTTCGTTGCATATGATCGTTTATGATAACGCTTTTTCGACCTGGATGAGTCATTTCAGTATATTTTTCATTAGAGAGTTTAATGTTGAAATTTTCTCAATTAAAAAGACTGCTGTCAACTCCCTACAGTGACCATTCAATTGATCCAACTTGTATTTGTGAACAATTCTTAATTGAATAATTCGATTTTTTTTTTATTTGTAGCATTTTTGTTGTGCTCGTTGTGCTCAACCCTTTTATGGTAGTAAACATTTTGAAAATAAAGGTTTAGCTTATTGTGAATTGGATTATCATTTTCTGTTTGGTTCAACATGTTTTATATGCAATTGTATTATCACTGAAGGCGGTAAAGTTCATTAAAAACATGTCTTTTTTGTTCTATCTAAGATTCTTTTCGTTTTTTTTAGCTTATACAGCATGTAATAAAAAATATTGTGCTGAACATTTTACTTGTTCATTATGTGAGAAAAAAATGGATGAAAAAAGTAAATTTTTCGATGTTGATGCAGCACCTGTTTGTAAACAATGTTATGGTAAATTACCATCCAATATTCGAAAATCACTTAAGGAACAACCAAAAAAGAAACAATTAACATCAATATTAAAACAAACTAGTCTTTAATAAAAAAAAAAAAAGAACAAAAGAACTCAAATATTATTTTGTACATTAAAGTTTTGTATTAACAAGATATAAATGACCATAAACAAGCAAATACATTGACATATCAATTTCATCACAAAATAAACCAAGATTAATTGAAAATGTTGTTAATGACCATTCACTTTCAAATTGATTATGTCGTCCAAGTAAATAAAGACGTGAACGTCGACGTAATAATGAAAAACATTTATTTAATTTAAGTGTATATATACGATAATGTTGAAAACGTTTTGAATGTATTGGTTTTGTTTTTATTATTAATTGTTTCACATGTCGACATATATAAAGTAAAAAATCACTATCATCTAATAAATTCCATTCATTTGCATTATCAATATCAATATTAAGAATATCAATACGTGCTGATATTGATTCTAATTGTATATATTCAGCTAATTTGCGTATTGTCATTAAATTTGAATTATCATCAACAGCAGCCGATGCTGTTAAACCTAATCGATAAAATGTCCAATTTTGTTTTATTTTTATCATTATATCACTTGTATTTGTTTGTATAGGTTGTTGATAAGGATCA